TTAATCAAGTAATCGCAAAAATCCATTGGTATTCTTCAGATAATGTATCTAAAAGTAGTGTGTATAAATTTCAGAGCAATCGGACCGCACGTTTACTTTCTTTTGGGATTGTCTCGAAACTACATTTTTCGAAATGGTACAACGTAAATCTCGTAAACTATCGGTCCTATTGCTCTGAAATTTGTACACACTACTTTTAAATACATTATCTGAAGAGTAGCAATGAACTTTTGCGATTACTTGATTAGTTTTTCTTTTATTGACGATTTTTCTCGTGAAATTTCGGTGAGAAATAAAAAAAAATTTCTTCGGCTTACCATAATTTTCTTAATGGTAAAAAAAAAAAAATCCAATTGCTACTCTCTTGCGACAAACTCCAGAAACAAACTAATATTCTTTTTTCCTTTTTCACATGCAACCTAAAGAATATAATGATGGTACAGCCCACGTGCGTTTCGTGCCGAAGGCCTTCACCAAAATTTTCGAACCGCCGCCATTTTTTTTTTCTTATCTCAAATAATTTTTCATGCGTTCATTAAACCGTTTTTTATTATGTGTCAAAACATAAAAATATTTTTTTCTATACTTTCGCGTTTATGAATTTTTTTAAGAATAGCACCCATCTGGCGAGCGCTCAGGGTGGCCAGACGCCTTAAATTATTGTTTGTAGTTCGTAAAAAGTGGTTAAAAAAAGTGTCGATACAAATCCTTCCTATGTATGAAAAATGGCGGGAACTCGTCTAGGTTAGATCGTCAGTGTCAAAGAACGAACGGTTCTAAGAAACGACTGACTAAACACGTCTGTAGCAAAAACTTTTGCTTTCGACAGTTTCTATCTAAAGAGATCCATTAGTCCTGAAACCTTGTAAGTAAGGGGTTAGGCGTATTAAAAACGTAGCAAATATGAGGGAAATACGGATACATACCTGCTTTCCAGCTCGCGGTAGCGTCTCCACATTGGTACCACCGACGACAGGCGCTTTTTCCGGTCCTCCATTCTGCTGGCTGACATTTATGTTGGCATTAACATTCGCGTGTACATTGGCGTTAACATTGTTCGCGTTGTCTGTAACGTTTGTGTTCGTATTTCCACCGTCTCCAGCCCCGCCAGTGCCAGTTCCACCCCCGCACTTTCCTTCCTCGCCCGTCATCACTTCGACCTCACCCTCCTCCGCCGATGTTTCTCTCTTCTCTCACCCTTTCGCGTTCCGCGCCTCGAGCCTTCCTTCCGTTCACTGATTACCAATGTCGGTCCGCTGGCCAGAATCCGGATATCTGCTCGAACGAGACGACGAATCGTCGATCAGGAGAAACGGGTCAATCTAGGGATTACTCGTTCCCACCAACTAATTCTTTCCGATCTTTAATAACGGGAATCTCGACGCCTAACATTTTGCACGGTCTTCTAGCGAGAACTAAACTAAATGTCATCTTGGATACCGAGTTTTTACACCAATCACGGACGAAACGAACCGCGATGCGTTCGAACTTCGCAAAATTCAACTGAAATGGTTCAATACGTTCGCCACCACGCGCTACCGATGCGTGACACTATAATTCCTGAGAAACCCACACGCGCGACAGCTATAATTTTCTATTTTACCTTCTTATACACGAATAAATGAATTAATAGATCTCTGTTGGACTACTTGTCTACTCGATACATTTTCTTTGTACACAATCAAAAATATGCTCTACATTAATTGAACGTATTACAAATATGGCGTGGTCCAAAGGATGGTAACGAACGTGTTACAACTGTATCGGTCGGTAAACTTGAAGAATTGAATGAAAAAGGTAAGACTCGGTAAGATTACCCTGCGAGCAGGCATTCCCAACGTGTAAGCAACAGAGAGGAAGAGCAGGACTTATTTACAATCGTTTATGTTGTACGTGTATTGTACGTTCTGATCTCGTTAACGGTCAAAGGTTTCGAGGATCCTTTTCGCTGACACACTGTCAAAGTTCATTACATTACAAATGTCTAGGAGAATTACTTTCGTTCTCTCGGCGTCGCTATTTTTAGGATTCTCGATGCGCGATACGGGTGGTATAACGGTATATGACGAGCTAACTCAAGCACGTTGGAGGTGGACTTCACGAAGCACATGCCGATGAAGAACTAATCAATTAATGCAATGAGCACCCAGCGGAGATTGGATAACCGAAATCCGAACTGCTATTGGGATCGATGATGCGATTTCATTTCTTGTATTAACCACTTCCTGCCGATGGCATCGTCCTCGACACAAACCAGTTCAGACAATTTATTTGGAGTCGAAATTGATTCTGTGCCTTTACATTTAATCATTTACGACTTTGGTTTATGTAGAAATATTTAATTGTCGTTTTGTACTATATGTTAAATTACCAACCATCTATGTAGGTTCTTGACCTGATATCCATTACAATGAATCTATACATATATATTATGTAACCCAAGTCCTAACCTGGTGACCATTGCAACGTATGTAATAACCATTGTAATGGTCATCAGGTTGAGGGTTTAGAAAGTTCGTACTTTAATGTACCAAAGTGACAACTAAATACATCGGTTTAAATTAGAGTTATAAATAATTGAATATAGAGGCACAGAATTAATTTCTCCACCTAATATATTGTTAATACAACATTAGCTGTTTACCTTCTCTCAAACATTATTCTATAAGCTTGATATACACCACTTGGAACCATGTGCGATTTTTCAGTCCGATGACATAACTACCTTCATTAAAGACTTTAAATTAAATTTTTGTTTCGATTTCATCGTATTTCCGGCAAGAAACTGACGTGGATTCAAATAAAAGTCACTGCGTCTAAGGTTAGGCGCGAACGGGTTAATCGCGTCACAAATTAGACCCGTTTTCGATTGTGGTTTAATTTTAGACAGTCTCGCAAGCCGGTTTTCACTGATGTTACCGAACGCGACGAAGACTGGCGTATGCAAGTTCAGATGTGCACGTATCGCGAGCAAAGCGTAGAAAATGCTACCATGCCATCGTTGCGAGAAACTGGGGAAAATAATTTCCGGTAACCGCGAGGAACTCGAAGAATCGTACATGTAGTTGTATCGTCGGTAGTGGAACCAGGGAAAATCGATTCGGCCGTGCCCGTTTGAGCACTGCGCGCCTCTCAAGTGTACGAACCGCCGCGATAAAAGCAGTCAAGCCGCGAAACGATCGTTTCGACTTTCGAGATGTGTAAGTAATGTACACACCGAACACTTGTAAACTTTCGAAAACTTCTCTTAAACAAAGTTAGGAATATTGCGCATTTGGATCATCACCGTAACAACAAATGGCAAATGAGACCTCTGCGAAATACGATTACAAAGTGTCAAATGAAAGATACGTATCGTTTTCGGAGTACTCTTTAACCTCCCCTTTCACTGCTAAACAAGGTAAAAGCTGCACAGCCTGACGATTGAAACCGAGAACCCTCCATCAAAAGGAGAGAGTAAGAGATGTGGACAAAATTGGTGCAAGTACGATAATCAATTTGAAAAGCAATAAATCTTGCGCTAGTCTAAAGATGCGAACGGTTGTAATTTAAATGAGAAATAGACCTTCGAGTAAATTAAAGATTTTTGGTGAAAAAGCTCTTGGAACGAAATCAATTGTCTAAATATTCAGTCGAAAGAATAGAAATAAATAGCCAACGACGCTTCGAATTTCCCTAAAACAGACTATTGTCCGAGTCACTGGGTATACATATCGACTATGCCGGTTTCAGTTTCTTGCACGGTATAAAATTATACATTACATTCAGCGACCAGTATTTTCGAGCGTTTTCCAAATCTCGCTTGCCTCTATTCTCATAATTCGATGGAACACACACGATCTATCGAAATCAATCAACTTGTCGAGTAACTGGTCCAAATCGTGTCCTGACTCCTGATGCATCGAAAAATGACGCGACTAACCAGAGAGCTACAGGGTGTTGTAGCAATACTTAGGATACCAACCACAGGATACCGAGGCACTTTTTCCATTAAATGTTTTTTCACTGTCAAATCACACGACGTTTCGTCATTTTTTATACATTTGCTCTTGCGCGAACCGAACCATATACATGTGTGTGTATATGTATATATGTGTGTGTGTTATTCGAAAGGATCTCGTCTGTCTAAAAAAGTTCCGAGCTTAACGCGACCGCCCTCCTGGAAACTCCGTACGGCTTTGATCGGTTTTATAACTTCGATGGCGACGAGTACGCTCGAAGCGACGCCTAGTGATCACGTTCTAGATGCGCTGGCTACCCCCTCCTTTCAATTGAGCATTGAGCTTCCCGATTACCGCCACTGTGACCAGATCCGCAGGTTACATACACAAAAACTATTTTGTTAACGAAATAGCATTCAGAAAAGAAATATCAGGATCTAGCCATCCGTTTATTCGAATAAATTGAATTGAAAGCAAGTATTCTAATTTATATTTTGTTACTATTCGTAATACATTTTCGATATATTAACTTATAAAAATAGACAAGCCGTACCCCTTCTTTAATATTGCTGTTCATCGCGAATGTTATTCGTATTAAATACATTTGAACATTCTATTTGGTGATATTAACTTATACTTTGTAATCTCTAATTTGTTTCGATGCTAAAACTCTTACATATGTACTTTATAAAATCGCAAGGTACTTTTGTTAGAAGCCAAGTATTTTCAATTAATTGGCTTATCTTAAACGCTATGGAAAAATGAATAATGCGAGATATACAAGACAATTTTGTGGTACAATATTATATTTCGATATATTTTGTATAAAAATTGTCCGGCTATATTCGATTCAGGGATTAATAAACTCAGTATTTACGATAATACAATAATAATATTCGCTTAAAACTCAATTTATTATTAGAAGCACATGTTATCGTGTAATTATGTATAAAATAAACTAAATAAATACTTTTCCGAAAATCAACATTATCAACTTGTTTGAAGCCACGTTTTAATAATCCAGTATTTATGGATATATTTCGCCTGTTTATATACTATAATATAGTGTACAATAAACTATATCAATCTCTGTTTTAGTGTACTTCCCAACTATGAAATGATTGTATATATATGTACCAAAGACAAGTGCATAATAAAATAAATTATTATTCTCGTTAAAAAAATTACATTACTTGTAGGATATTTAATATTGACGTTATACAGTATAAAATTTATAAGAATTACACCGATTAATATATTTTTATGTAAAACAGTTGCAGTGGAAAAATTTGATTGCTTATTTATTTTAATGCTTTTCTCTTTAATAAAAATAATTTCCAAAGTGCAAAAATGTATATTTTATAATTCGATATTATTTCTTAATTTGTAGATTAGAACATAATAATAATAGTAGCAATACTATATCAAATATTAAACACTTATACATTGTTTCATAATAAAGTAACTGCCTTAGGAATGCATAAATTTGGTCAGTGAAATATAGTTTCATACTTATCTCTATTTCACTTATTATTATACTACAAATTTTGCATAAAAATGTTTTATTTCTATACTATTAAATTATTACTCTCAATTATGCTTGTATCCTTTAGGTATTACTATAATCAAAAATCAAAACAACTGGAAACTAATTGCTAGTATTTATGGGACCGAATATTAACAAATTGTAATCAATTATTTCGATAAATTAAATTAATGTTATTTTTACAAAGAAGAAACATCTCTTTATTAAACAAATGTATCTATTTCATTCAAATAATCAATATTATATCGTTGTATAGGTACACATGTTCAAACCACACTAGTTCTACAGAAAAAAGACTATAATTTTCATAAATAAAATATTGCTTTGCAGTGAACATTTTATATTCAAAATAAAATACAGTGACAACTAAAATCCATGAGTCATGTACGTTAACAAATAAAGATCAATTATCATCATAATATTATGAGCATTACATATTCTTTATTAAATGTTTTATACCTACATTTTCATTTTCACATTTATCATTCATTCTTTCATTTTATCTATAATAATATTACTTTATGCATTTAATGATAGCAACATTCCTATTATATATAGTACAATATATACGTTATACACATCGTACAAATATTAACAGTAAATAATAATGTACACAACAGAATAGAATTATATTTAAAAAATGATGTTATCTTTTATCTGTTAAAGAAAACACTGAAACGTTTATATTCTTAAATTCATATAAAAAAAACACAATATGAAATTATAAACTCTGTGAAGACTCGCTGCATTGATTTTTATTTAACTTTTATACACTCTGATTCAATATTTTTTTTATCAGCTTTTCTTTTAACATGTGTTTCACAAAGACATCTACATTCTTTGCTATTCTTTTTATGAATGTCAAGAGATTGTAAACCAAGGAAGCATGACATGACTCATATGTTAAACTATTACGAAGGGCCAAGATGTACTCTTCCTTTGTGTTTTAATAAAGTTTGTTTAGAGCAATACGTTTTTTTACATAAATGGCAGGGAAATCCAAGCCCATAATGGTATGCTTCATGTTTACTCTTCACCGTGTCCATATATTCTTTTTCACAAATAGGACAAGTAGGTAAACTGTGATCTGCATGAAAATGTAATTTTCGTGATGTAGCATTAGAAAATCGTTTCCGACAGTGAAAACATTGATATGGAACTACGGAATCATAGTGTTTCTGCCTAATATGGTCATCAAATTTTGCAAAAGAATTCAGTATAGCGCGACAATAATGACAATGTATTTCAAAAGGTGGATCAACATAGCTATCCCCCTCTTCAATAGAACACTCATGTTTGTGCCATGCAGTAATATCATGAAAATTTTCTTTACAATATCCACATATTAATTGTGTACTTTTGTGATATTTGTTGATGTGAATATTAAGATCTTTTCTGGAGTTGAACTTATTTCCACATACGCACATCTTATTTTTTGTAACCACACTAAACATAGATTCACTGCATCTTTTGTCTTCATTTTTTCCCATATTTTTTTGTACATTTATTGTTTGTTTTAGCTCCTCGTTACGAAAATTATTTGTTATTTTATTTGCGCTGAGCCTATCGCTAGTATCGTTATTACATACATTATACTGTGAATCATCTTCGATATCAACATCAGTATCTTCATCAACAAATTGAATTCTTAAAATGCTATGATTTTCACTATATTTAGATGATTCCAGAATATCATATTGTTGATTCTGTGAATCTATTGTATCATCGTCTTCGGTAATATCGGATAATGTATTAGTATCTTCTGAATTACTAAAATTCTGCAACTCCTTTTCTTCATCAACGTCTCTACCAACAACCTCATAAGAATTATTCTTTTTTTTTATCGTGATGCTAATCCCAATTCCAGAGTCTCTGTCGCAATTATTTTGTACAGAATTTAAATGACACGTACTTTTATGTAGATACATTGTATGAGGATTACGAAATAATCTTCCACAAGAACAAGAAAATTCATGGTTGTCAGCATTCTTATTAGGTGATCTTCCACTTGTACCCTGTGATTTGAACATTTGCTTTTGTTTTCTTTTTTTCGTAAACGAATCTTCAGTATCTCTATTATTATTATTTGTATTTTCAGAAAACACATTACTTGAGTTTACAATTCCTTTTTGTTTTATACATAACGGAGAGTTGGAATAATTGCAACTAAACAAATGAAAATTTTCTTTTGTTTCCCCACGAATATGGTGACGACGCATATGTTTACTAATACTGTGTGGTGAATACATCCCGAAACAAATTTCACATTGACGAGAACCAACTTCTGCCGTTTTCAAAGTATCATCATTGTTATTAAGTTTAGTTTTTTTTTTCTGACTTTCAGATGAAATATCTAGTTCCTGTTTTCTTTTTTGTTTACAACGTAAGGAATATTTGCCTTTAATAATTCCATTGTTTTCTATGGGTTCATCATTATCGGATGTTTTGTTAAATTCTTTGACTTTTGGAGCAGTAGATGTCTTTTCTAATTCTTGTAACATTAAATCAGAACCTTCGATCTTATGATAATCAGTTAAATGCTTTCTAATGTTTTTTACAGTCTGCTTACACAGTACACATTGTTGTTGTGAAACTGAGTCATGATGTGAAACAGTTGGTTGTCCATTCTGTTTTAGTTCCTTATGAGTTATTCTTTTTTCTTTATCTTTTTTTATGCTCGCACTGTCAAGCTTTTCAACATTGTCTTTTTCTATTTCAACAGCATTAGATTCTTTTGATTTATCAATTTTTGTTTGAATTACAATGGGGTTCTTATTGCGTTTTAGTGGTATGAGAATACCATGTACTCTTTCAGAATGAAATCTAAGTGATCGATTAGTTGTATATAACTTTCCACATACTGAACAATGGAATAATCTTTTTTTAGTTTTGATTGAAAATTTAAAATTTGGTAATGCAGTATTGTTATTGCCTAATACTGGATGATACTTCACATACAAGGAGTTCTCATTTGTGATCCCTGATGGTAATCCATTAAGTGTACCAAAACTTTTACTACGTTGTACATCTTTTATTACTTTTAATGTTTCCCATATTTTATCACATTTTTCAAGTAAAACAATGGGATCCCTTACTTTATATGGTGTAGTAAAAGGAATTGGTGATAAAATTAATCCATTCTAAAAATTAGAAAAAATACATGTATTGGTATGTGTTACACATTACCAATAATTTAAATAAATTATTTTTATTTATTCAATTTTGTTTTTAACAAATTTCTATACATTATTATAAATGCTTTGATCATTGCTATGAAAAATATCAAATTTATAAGATTCTATTTTTTTTATTACTTATTAGATAATAATATTTTTATTAATAAAGTCTAATTCTGACTATTTGCATACACATATTTAAACAAATACTTTTACGAAAAAAAATTGTTTATTAAAAAGAGGATTAGTAGAAAAATGTACTACTAAAAATGTAAACGAGTTTCAAATTCCCGCCATATATCAGCTGGAAAGTAAATTGGCGTTTCGCTCGTATTTCTATGACGGTAACAAACGCGTCTTACATAGTAAATATGAAATTAACATTAAATTACAATATCAATACTTATTATATGTTCGAATAATTATATATTTTAAACCAATAACAAATAAAAACAATAAATCCAGCGTTGTTTACTACACTTAGTTTCGTTATTCTTTAATTCTATCGCTTCAGAGAATATCCTAAATGAATAAAAAACTTCAAAATAGAAAGTAATAAAATTATACTTACAGATAATTCGTCTTTATAATCTGATTCATTAAAATAAGATGGTTCTAATTTAGGTATAGATTCTATAGACACATTGGCACATGCTGTCTGTTCAGACTGCTTCATCGTTGCATGTTCACTTTCATCCGCATGTTCTTGAATTGCCGATACATCTCCAGACATTTTAATTGAAAACACGGAAGACCAAGAGCTGAATACAAATTGAGGATCAGTACGTTTTGAACATAGCTGAACGCAAGCTGTGCGAACTCAGTCGACATCTTGCGTCTACTCTACTAGTTTGATACTTCACCATCTTGTACCCACTTGTACGACTTGTACCTTAAAACCTGTCCTTTAAGGCTGATTTACACCAATTTACACTATTAGTCATTCGTCCGTTATAACATTCTTTCAAAAGATTATCAAGCAAAGCAATTATAGATAACAATGTAAACACTTCTATACAAAATACACTGAAGGGTATTTCGATGATTGGTTGTTCAGCGAATACTATGATGTCATCATTATATTGTGAGGTTATGGCTATGTGCTAGTAAATAGCATCTGTTTGTTTCGAACTGTCCTCACCTAACGGTCGAGACTATATTTTCGATTACTATTAGTACCGAATTATGATACTGACACTATTTATGAATAAACAAACAATATTTAGAAATAGCAACTCTTAGAATCACTAAAAGATTCTGAATCAACTGACTTTCGGGAAAACTGAGATATTTAACTTTACAAGCTATTAACAGCTTTTTCAACTAAATCAGAGATGTCCAAGTTAAGCTCATTGAATTTACCATACTACCTAATGGAATGATTGGTTATTCTCGTAAATCCGTGTTGAAAACAGCATACTACACTACGCAACAAAATTATTCATAAAAACTTTGCCATTTTTCAAATGTGCATAACTTCGTCAATTTTCATTGTATCAAGACAATTTTTGGGGGTTTTATAGGTAATTATCCGTACTTTCGGAAAAATTAAATCCAAATTGAAAAGAGTTGACTTGATAAGGAACGTGAACGATACGATAGCTTTCTTACAGTAACCTACAGCCCACAGTAGCCTACAGTAAGCCTATAATAGTCTAGGTACACAACTTTTCATCATTTATATTTTGATATCTTTTCAAGAATTACAAATAGTAATATTAATACTGTTTTTAAAAATGTTATACAAATTAATATATAATACAGTTTACCCTTAAAATGCCAACATTTAATTATATAATATGCACTAATGCGTATAAATACGGCTACGGCTACGTATTGTATATTGTGTATATATCGCTTCTTTTATAAACGATTTATAAAAGGATCTTGTAAACATTGTTCGCCACTGTCTAGTGTCATGTGACCCAACCCAACAAAACTACTGGGAGAGTCTATGTTGAACGATTTTAACATTTTCGAGATTATCTTCCATAAGTCTATTTGCCTAAACAATATCTCCACGATAGTTTTAGATAATATTAAACATGTAAACAACCAGTACCTTTCAACATATCAACAAACATTTACTGTATACGACATACAAGAATTTTACTGTACCTTGTCTCGCGTGAACGAAGTTACGTATCATGCCACAAATGCTTCGCGAAAGTAGGAAGTTCTAACCTGTCGATAATGCGAATTACTTTATAGAACAGCATAAATCTACCTTGTTTTTAGCGTTTAGGTATTTCGATATATTAGTTTTGTATATCTTGCATACTTACATTAGGTATACATAATCGTAAACTCCACGATTCAACGGGATTCCAAGTCACAGGTCATACGGTGTCTTGGGTATTCTACGTTGTTAACGATAAGTGCACAGTAACATGTCTTTTTAAACTACAGTAATATTTATTCGAATGATGGTCACTTGGAGACTTGTTTTGAACTATTTTAGAGTCACAAATGTTCAATAATTAAAATTTCCGACAGGATTTCCTAAGCGTGACGCTTTGGACGGATCCACTCCTAAATGTGGCTCGTGTTAGTCCGCCTACTCCAAGCAGACTCGAGGCTGTCTTGAACCGGATACTTCCAAACTATCGTAATATTTGTCGAAAATAACTTTGAAATGGCGATTCTATCGATAAATAAACTGTAGTAATTTACAAAGACCAACTTCTACCAAACTACACTGCATCTACTCTGCGTGCTTGATATATCACTAACAAATGTAGGTACATATGTACAGGTACTTCTGTTGAAAAAATCAGGTCTTGAAGGTGACGAAGTAAATTGTTGAAGTAACGTTTAGGTATTAATAGGTGATCAACATTTACTTAGGTATTTAGGCATATTCTAAAGGTATGAATAGATATTTATTTTGTAAAAATATCGTTAGCAGTGAATCTGGACGATATATGGATCTATTTGGAAATAGCAAGAAAAGAATAATGATAAAGTAATTATTCAGTCACTTGAAGAATTTAAGATACAAATGGCCTAGTGGCTTACGTATAGTTGTCATTGTTCAAAACAATTAACAACCCACTCATTTTCCCATAACAAGAAAAATACGTAATAGTACAAAAAACGTGAACAAATGCATGTAAAATTAACGCATTATTACAGCAAAGGACTAAATTTCGTGTAGAGTTCAGGACGAGATCAATATATCTGCGTGATACTTACACCTTTGCGACACTATCGCTACATCTACTGCAATGACGACAATCTGACGATAAATTTAAACAAAAATATAATAAATACGAAGAAGACATTGCCGAGTATTTATTTTACCCTACATCAGTTCTTGTTGAATTTGTTTAACACAGAAGTCAAGTTACATCACGATTTTCAATGCCTAGTAAACTTCAATGATCAGCTCAGAATGAATTCTACCGACTTTATAGTAATACCTGTTTTAAACAAATAAAGTATTAGTATCTATTTATCTTATATGAGTTTGACTAAAATAGCACTGTAAACAGAGTAGAAAACGTTAAAGCAATTTAGTTTGTATTTAACCTCTACTCGTTGATACCTTGATTGATTGTAAAAACTATTAGATCTATTAGATTTAATAAAATTTTACACGCCCTTAACAAGTTCCTATTACATTTTCGTCATTATGTCGATTTATTTATGTAATAATCTTATCGTTAAAATCGGGACAAGCAAGGTTACCATTGTTGAATAGCAGTATTATACTGAGTTTGCTCAATTCTCGATAAAATTGTTCTTTTAATGAGTATTCGTTTCCGGCGGAATGTATATAAAGTCGAATATTTTTTCACGCAGGTCAGTATTTGTTGAGGAAAAATGCAAGTTTTTATTATCTTGTTAGTGTTTGCCAGCTCCAAGCCTTCTACGTCGATAGGAATTTACAGCAGAGGTGTTGTGTTAAAATTACTTTCGAATTCGGATTTTAGCGAACTGTGGAATTTACTTTAAATAATAATAAGTCGTTTTTACAAGAATCGTATGATTTTCCACTCTATTAATGTGTTTAGAAGTCTTTTACATATGACTTTACTGACTTTTTTAATAACCACCTTTGTTATTGCGTATCTAAATTATGCTGACTTACAAACTACCTATAGCTATTTACACCTACGATTCCTTATTACAGAAAACAGTAGATTACAAGAACATTTTCAAAAAGATGCATTCTTCCACGAAATAAAAGATTGGTTTATCCACGTGAAAAATAAAATTTATGACAAAATATATGGACAAACAACTACGACGACTCCTGATAATTTGCCAACGGAAGTGTTGGATTTTAATAAGTTACGATTCAAAAGCAGATTAAGAAATTGTGGATGGCATCAAGTGAATTTATGTAAATAACAAATTGTTGTTTTTAATATTCATATCATCGTCTCATTTGTTTTGAATACCGCAATAGGCACTGCCATAAACAATCGATATTAGAACATTAACAATGGTATAAGCTTCTACCAGAAATTTATTAAGTTGTATTTTTTTAATACAGCTACTTTAACTTTCGATCCTGATCAAGATTGGGGATTTCGTATCGGTAACTGGTACTTTATCCGAAAAGATGATACAAATCGTAACGGAATTGAGAAGAATAATTCAGACGATTCAAACTTTCATGTCCAGAGTACTATTGAACCAACAGATCTATCTAAAGTAGACACTGGACAGACCTCTGATGATATGAATTACTCGGAAGTTACGGAATCTACACTGGCTATATCAACTACAACTACTTTTGCGACACAAAGTGTGACGCAATCCACGACACAAAAGGCAACGATACAACCCAGTACACAGATCGATTCATCCATAACCACTTCGTCAAGAACAGAAATACCGATGGTGGATATTGAAATCAATACTGATTCTATTCATAAAGGATCTGCGGAAGTTTTAATGGGATAACAGTGTCTTGACTGTAAAGATAATAGCGTTGTGTAATTTCTTTCCTGCATTTTTATACAAATTTTTTTAATTTCGAAATCATTTTTCATTTTTATATCAGAATAAACATTTTTATTGCAAAGCTAAATATATTTACAAACGAGTAAATTACTTTCATAGTGAACATCGATTTATACGCGACATACCAAGAGGTGTAAAAAAAGTACAGCAATAAAATGTTTTTTTTTTTTTCATCAAGAAGAGTACACGTTTATTCCGTAAAACTTATCATAATCATTCTATGGTAATAAATTATTATAATAATTTTTACGTCGATGTCACACAAAGCGTGGTCCTCGTGATGTCTTGTAGTTTTACTGTAATAAAAAGGACAAAAATATGTCAGTAAAATATTCAACTCTTAATATGCACTCAGATTACACTCAGCATGCACAAAAGTGTTGTATACCTATACAAAATATAAAACATGAAACAAGTACATATAATACAAACTAAAGAAAGTATAATACAGGATAATATGTACTTATTTCCTTT